ACACTCTCTGCTTTTGGCGATGGGGTTTATGAGGGGAATTTGCTTATTTTTCTTTATATTTCTTTTCTTATTCTTCTTATCTTATTTTCGGTTTTCTCGGTTTTTTCTCGGTTTTCTCGGGCTTGGAGGGGAATTTTCTTATTTTTTCTTTATATTTCTTTTCTTATTCTTCTTATCTTATTTTCGGTATTTTCGGTTTTCTCTGTGTCTTGTTTTTTTGTTGTTTTTTTGTATAGGTGAGATTTGTTTTGTATTTTTTTTGGTATATATATATATTTTTTAAGTTAAGTTGGGTGATGCAGGGATGTTTTTTTTTTCTTGATCTTGATTTGAATTTTTTTTTTTGAAAGAACTGTTATAGCTTTGTTTGAGGTTGTGGTTATTTTGGTCTCTTTTGTAATTGTCACCTTTATCATAATTCTTTTTTTTCGAATCAGTGCATGGGTTATGGATATTTAGGCATTTTAAAATAAAGGCTATGACATTAGTCATATAGACAGAATAAAATCCTTCCAGATTATGATGTTTATTTGGTTTACGTTAATAATAAATTTAAGACTATTTCTATATCACAAACAAATACATGATGACAAAATAATTGCCTTAGATACAAGATAAAATAATACCAGACCAATCTCGAAAAAAGTACCGAGTGTCTTCTCCCTGACACCAACATCGATCAGCTGATGCTTCATTCAGAGTTAATTCTCAAGCAATAAATTTCTTTAATGATTATAGCTGTATTCATTATCGTCATTTTGGCACACGCGAACTATTCACCTTGAAAGACAGTTAGGGATTCGCGAATTACACCGTCCGCCATTTTGAATAAATTATCAGCAACGGTTTTCAATACTAATAAATGTTTTTGTAAAATGACAGATCGATATTTCTATTCATATACATATATACTTTTATGTATGTATGTATGTATATACATATAAGTATATATATATATATATATATATATATATATATATATATATATATATATATATATATATATCATTACTGTTATTATTATTGTTATTATCACATTATTATTGTTATTCTTTTTATCTTAATTATTAACATTATTATTATTGTTAGTAGTAGTAGTAGTAGTAGTAGTAGTAGTAGTAGTATTACTGCTCCTATCATCACTATTATCATTATTATTATTATTATTATCATCTTTATTTCATTACTATTATTATTATCATTATTATTATTATTACTATTATTATTATCATCATTATTGTCATTATCATCATCATTATTATTACTAGCATTCTCATTCTCATTATTATTATTACTATTATTATTATTATTATTATTATTATTATTATTATTATTATTATTATTATTATTATTATCATTATCGTTATTATTATTATTATTATTGTTATTATTATTATTATTATCATTATTATTATTATCATTATTATTGTTATCATTATCATCGTCATCATTACTGTCTTTATTATTACTGTTATTATTACCATTGGTACTATTATAATTAACGTAATCATTATTACTATTATAGTTATTATCATTATTATTGTTATTATAATTACTATTATTATCATCATCATTAGTACCATTATTATTATTATTATCATTATTATTATCATTATTATTATTATTGTGATTATTACTATTATTATAATTATTATTACTATTATTATTATTATTATTATTATCATTATTGTTATTTTTTCATTACTATTATCATTACTATTACTGTCATCATCATTATCATTATCATCAACATAATCATTCCTTTTATTATTATAATCATTATTATCATCATTATTATTACTTTTATAAATTTCATTAACCTTATTGTCATAGTTATTGCTGTCATATTTATCATTACTAATATTATTTTTACTATTATTTTTTTCCTCATTATTATCGTTATTATTACTGTTATTGACAATATTATCACTATTATTGTTGTTGTTATTATCATCACTATTAGTACTATTACCATTATTATTATTATCACTATTATTATTATCATTATTATTGTTATTATTATTATTGTTACTATTGTTATTATTATTATTATCATTATTATTATTATTATTATTATTATTTTTATTATTATTATTGTTTGTTGTTATTATTATTATTATTATTACTATTATTATTATTATTATGATTGTTATCATTATTATTATCATTACTATTTTTGTTGTTTTGTTGTTGTTGTTGTTATTATTATTATTATTATTATTATTATTATTATTATTATTATTATTATTATTATTATTATTATTATTATTATTATTATTATTATTATCATTATTATTATTATTATTATTATTATTATTATTATTATTATTGTTATCATCATCATTACTATTATTGTTATTATTATTATTATTATCATTATTATTATTATTATTATTATTATTATTATTATCATTATTATTGTTATTATTGTTTTGTTGTTGTTATTGTTATCATTATTATCATTATTATTGATATTACTATTATCAATATTATTATTATT